TAGCCTGGCTAAGACACCAGTGAGTATCTTAGGTATTTTGGTTCTAACTTTCTTATATAACCTCCAAATAATATGATTCAAGATACGTTGGGAAGATAACGAAGATATCTACAACTTTTATCTTTTGAGTTTTTTCATATTCGAATCTAATCATGACCAAAATCTCCATTCTTCTCCAAGACACCAACATTGTCTCGGAATTCTGAGGCAGTTGGTATTTTGGCTTTATCTCTTGCATATGATCTCAGAATGAGTTGATCCAAGATGTGTTAGAAAGCTAACAAGGAGATCTACAATTTTCATATTTTGAGCTTCTTCGGATTCAAATATAATCATAGTCAAAACAGCTTTACAAAGTCCGAGACACCTATGGGTGTCTCGGCCAAGCCTTGGCTGAGACACCTCTTGGTGTCTCGACCAAACTTTGGCCGAGACACCTATGGGTGTCTCGGCTAAACTTTGGCCGAGACACCTACAGGTGTCTCGCTAAGGCCTGGAGCACTGTTCCGTGCGTTCTGTCTGTTTTCGTCGTATCTTCGTCATTCGAACTCGAAATCATGCGATTCAAAATGCATCGGAAAGCCGATGAGGAGATCTATGAGCTTCCATGATTGAATAATATGTGGAGTAAATGGGACACGAGGGGCGCTTCGTCTTTTGTAAGCGACGCGTAGCTCCCGATCCATTCGTATTTCCGTTATTCCGAAGTTCCGTTGCTTCACATGGTTCATCAACTCACTTCATGCGCTTGTCATCATCAAATGAGCTTATGTGACTTAGATGGCGATGTTCATCGTCTTTTCTTTGTCTCGAGCCGCATGCGAGGACCTATTGGTAATTTTTTACGCCTACACTGTGTATATAACTCTTACATTTGGTGAATGAATAATTTTTTTCGTTGACCAAAAAAAATAGAGCACAACTAGAGATAACGCAGTGATCTCTTTCGAAGGGGTTGAAAACCTGAAGAATCTGATTAACTCTTGCTGTGTCAACTCTAAAATCCACCTCTCTGCTCTGTATGATTCTTTAAAACCAGGTCCTAAGGTGGTTTGGCATGACGTTGTTTGGGAAAAGTTAAACTATCCCAAACATTCTTTCATTATATGGCTGGTTGTTCTAGATAAACTTCTTACACAGGATAGATTGCTCAGGAGGGGGATCATCCAATCAAATCAGTGCTGCTTGTGTGAAGGTGCAGGAGTTGAGAACATAAACCATCTATTTTTTGACTGTAGCTTCTCCAATCGTGTTTGGAATGACATTATGCAGTGGCTTAAGTTCAACTGGAGATCATCTGATTGGCATATTCTCATGAATTGGTATATTTTTAGGTTGAGGGGAAAAGGTTGCAAATAGAGAATTAAGAGACTGGCACTAACTGCTACAATCTACAACATTTAGAGAGAGAGAAATGCTAGAATCTTCAATGAGTAATTCAGAAGTGTTGAGCAGCTGATCAAGATCATCAAGATTGATACCTGGACAATATCACTCAACAGTTCACTGCCGGATGAAACCTGTAAATGGCTTCTCTCAATGTAGCAGAGTTCTGGTAGTTTTGACATTTTAGTTTCATTGTACATCCTTCTTCTATCTTAGATGTTTTTTGTTTGATACCTCAGTCTACTAAGTGACTTGATGTACATAAACATTTACACTTTGGTGAGTGAAATAAAATTTTTCATTGACAAAAAAAAAACAACTGATTAATAGAAACACCATTTCAAATATATACCTTGTGGGGTTTTTGGTGCGAAAGTTCACTTTTTTACTTTCCGGTGTATTTAAGAGGTGCTGATAGATTTTCAGAGACAATGTAGAAAACTTCGATCTGTATTTTTGGAGAGAAAAATTCTTTAAGGACCCAAAATATAGGACCAATAAAGGGGACAAGTGAGGTGTCCCTCTCCTATTGGATAATGAATTGGCCATCATTAATGATGGCCAACTCATTATCTAATAGGAGAGGGACACCTCACTTGTCCCCTTTATTGGTCCCATATTTTGAGTCCCTGTAGCAAAGCTCTTTTGGAGATGGGAATATGGATGACCGTGTACAACCACTTTTGATAATTGTAGCAGGCTGAAGCTCTTCCTTGTGAAGGCTTCATCCCTTTCATCTCAAAAAACCATTCAAATATTTATTTTAAAAATTTTAAGTAAGAAAGTTGTACCCAAAAGTGATTTCCTCCCTATATCACTTCATTAATCAGTACCACAGTCTCCTTCCTCGTAACACCGCAAATTTATTGAACTTTTTTTTGGGGGTACAGTGCAATAATGATCAAG